ATCACCCTGGAATCCCCCTTCACCAGCACACTGGGTCTTTTTCTGTACTAAGTGCTGTGTTTTCTGGATTTGGTGTTTTCCTTTTTCTTGGTTTACTCTGTCATTTTTGACAAGATATGCAGGGGAGGTGACCTGGTTAGAGTTCCAAGAGGAATCATATGGCCAATGCAAAAGAGGCAATTGAAGAGAGTTTACAGAAAGGACTTTTTTTTTTTTTAAAGATTTTATTTATTTATTTGACAGAGAGAGTGAGAGAGCAAACGCAGGGGGAGAGGCAGAGGCAGAGGGAGCTGAGCAGGGAGCCCGATGCAGGGCTGGATTCCCGGACCCTCGGATCATGACCTGAGCCTAAGGCAGATGCTTAACAACTGAGCCACCGAGACCCAGGGTTTTGTTTGCTTGTTTGTTCATTTGTTTGTTTAAGTAGTCTCCATGCCCAGCACGGAGCCCAATGTAAGGCTTGAATTCACGACTCTGAGACCAAGACCTGAGCTGAAATCAAGAGTCAGATGCTTAACTGACTGAGCCACCCAGGCACCCCTAAAGAAAGGACCATTTAAAAAAGTATGGGCAGGGTTGGAAACACCAACAAGGGACATGATGTATGTTGGGGCTAGCAACAGCCAAAAGCTGTTATCCCCAAAGCCTGAAAGGGCAAGAGGAGAGGGTATTTCCAGAAGAACCTCAGCTGTAAGAGAGGGCCATGCTCACAAGACTCTAGCTGTCATTTAGGGATGTGATGGTTCTGCCAGCAGGGAGGGAGCAGAGAAAAGAGCTCAACCTCTCTCCACCTCTGCCCTCTGATTTCCCAGTCATGCCTCCTATTGGCTGAAGCCAATCAGAAGCCAGCCTGCCCTGGAGTTGAGTGGATGTCTCACACAGAGTTGGCCTTTGGGGGCACAGAGTAGGGTGAAGAGTGGAATGGATGTGGAGGGGCAAGGGGGCACAGCCAGCACAGGAGGTGAAAGTTTGAAATCTAGTGTATCTAGAAGTGTCTCTGTTCAATACTGCCTCTAGAGGAATGCTTTGGCTGGTATGGGATTCTGGGTTGGTGACTCTTTTTCCTCAGAATTTTAAAGGCAATGTTCCATTGTCTCCCGGCTCCCAGAGTTGCTGTTGAGAACTCTGTGCCACTCTGATTCCTGATCCTTTTCTTTTCTTTTTTTTTTTTTAAGATTTTATTTATTTATTTATTTATTTATTTATTTATTTATTTATTTATTTATCAGAGAGAGAGCGAGCACAAGCAGGGGGAGCAGCAGGCAGAGGGACAAACAGGCTCCGCTGAGCAGGGAGTCCAATGTGGGGCTTGATCCCAGGACCCTGGGATCATGACCTGAGTGGAAGGCAGTCGCTTAACCGATTGAGCCACCCAGGTGTCCCTCCTGATCCTTTTCATGTGACTTGTTTTTTCCTTCCTGGAAACTTAAGATCGTCTTTTCCCCAGTGTTCTGCTATGTGGTGAGGGGTGAGTTTCTCTCATTATACAACAGGGTCCCCAGAGTAGGCCCAGGCCAGGTATATACTTGCTCAGTCCCTTGTAGGCCCTGAAAATGCAAGAAACATGGCTATAGGTGCCCACTTTCCTGCATCAGTACATAGTTGGAATGCAACTGCTCATGTGTGATGTCTGGTCATTATTATGCCCCTGGGGACAATACATCGAGATTGCAATGGTGCTGAGTTAGGCTGGGATTCAGACACTACTACAGACAACTCTGCCTCCTCCCTCTCCCAGAATCTGTGCTGGCTGATGGTAATGGGCGGTTATATTGTAGAACCAGGGGTGAGGAGGGAAGGGGGAGATATTTAGTTGGAGTAAGGGGCACAAACTGTTTCAAAGAAGCAGGTTGGTATGGCATGAAGTCTGTTCCCATTAGGCTCCTCGGGTCCCTGGTGATGGGCCTGATCCCCTAGATTAGAGGGAGAGGTTCAAAAGCCAGCCAAGCTGTCTTTAACAAAGACTGTGATACTGCACACAAGTAGTTTGGGGCCCAAATGACAATGTGTGACACAGAGTTGGGGAGAGGTCATTCTTTCCTTCTTGGCAAGGGATTGCCTGGAATCCCGGGGAGTCCTGGTGCTATGAATACCAAGAAGTAGTGCTGTTGACATAGATACCAGCTTTCTCTTAGTGGGCTCCATCAACAATGGAAAATCAAGGCTCTTCCACGAGTGTCAGGCTGTGAAAATTGACAGCTTATGAACTAGGAAGTGGGGATTTCACCAGGCATGAAATCTGTTGGTAGGTTGATCTCAGACTTCTCAGTCTCCAGAATTGTGAGAAATATATTCTGTTGTTTATAAGCCACCCAGTCTACAGTTATGGCAGTCTGAGCTAAGACAACCACCATTTTGAATGCCGATGGTTGCCATGCCAGAGGGAAAGAGAATCAGAGGAGTCTCAAAGCAGCAAATAAATGATTTGGGTGTGAAGTGACATGTGTCCTTTCTGCTCAAACTCATTGGCCACATCCAACCATGAGAGGGCCAGGAAATAAAATCCTACCATGTGGCCAGAAGGCAGAAAGTCAGCAATATTTACCGAAGAGAATTAATAGTCTATCACTCACTTTGTGGCAAGAGCTGTTCTAAATATATTACAGTCATTAACTCAGTTAAGCCTCATAATAATTCTATGAAATAGGTACTATTAATATCATCATCATCCCCATTTTATAGATGAAATAACTGAGGTACAGAGAGGTTAAGTAACTTGATCAAAGTCACACAGACAGTAAAGATGAAGCTGAAGATTTAAACCCAGTCATTCTGGTGCTGTAAACAGACTATGCAGTCTCTCACTAGATGGGAAAATTTGAGATGCATGGTCAGAGATGATCGAGAGTCACTAAAGGAGTTTTAAGCAGGAGGATGTGATTCAATCAGATTTGCTATTGAGAAAGCGTTCTCCAGAGAGTGGGGTGAAAAATCAAATTGAACTGGGGTTAGACTAAGGCAGAAAGGCTATTTGCATAGTGAAGGGATGGAGATGAGGAGGATTGAACTAAGGCACATTTACTACAATTAACTGGGTAATCTTGAGCCTCCGTTCCATCAGCTTGAGCCTCTGTTTCATCATTTCTTGAAACATGATTATGGTAATACCTATCTTAGTGGGTTTTTCTGAGGATTATAAAAATAACATAAGCAAAAACTGACAGTACTAAGGCTCTGGAATTACAGACATCTGTGTTAAAAATCCCAGCTCTACTACTCGCTAGATGAGGGAGTTCATTATTCCAAGTCTCAGTTTGCTCATTTATAAAACACGTGTTAAAGTCAGAAACATTAAATAAGTCAAAGTAAGAAAGGTGATTACAAACTGGTTGCAGGTTGAGAAAATTCGCTCAGGAGAAATGTAAAATTCCTTCTAGAGAAATAACTGAGATTTTGTTTAGGAAAAATACCTTAATGAACTTACGTGTTGACGAAAATCAAGTCTCCTAGGCATGGCTAGAAAGGAAGAGGTTTAGATGGAGTATTAAACAATTTTGATTAATAAAGTAATAGAAAATGTTGGTTTTCCTCTGATGAGATGGAAGTTTTGAGGGAAGCTTGGGCTTGGGAGAAAATAAAAAGATGGAGGGGAGGGTTTCACTCAAGAGAACTGTGAGCATCTGTTTTTAATCAGTTTCCTTGATCCATTCTTCCCATGGCAGCCAGAGTGCTCTTTTAAAACCATTAATTGAATCATGTTGGTCCCTTTCCCCTAGTCCAGTGCCTGATACTTAGAAGTTTCTCAGTAACAATTTGCTGAGTAAATGAATGAATGAAAACATTTGCCAGGGAGCAGGTGAATCCCTAAAGAAAAGGACTTTTTTTTTTTTTTTTAAGATTTATTTGTTTATTTTAGAAAGAGAGTGAGAGAGGGTGAGTGAGGGGAGGGGCAGAGAGAGTAACCTCAAGCAGAATCCCTACTGAGCACGGAGCCCCATGTGGGGCTTATCCCAGGACACTGAGATCATGACCTGAGCTGAAATCAAGAGTCAGCTGCTTAACCAACTGAGCCACCCAGGCACCCCAAGAAAAGGACTTTTGTGGAGGAGTTCTGAGTAGTGAGGGCTGATGTTTATTTTTTTATTTTTGTTTTTTTTTTAAAGATTTATTTATTTATTTGGGAGAGAGAGAGAGAGAATACAAGCAGGGGGAGCTGCAGGCAGAGGGGAAGCAGGCTCCCCACTGAGCCAAGGAGCCTGATGCAGGACTCGATCCCAGGACCCTGGGATCATGACCTAAGCTGAAGGCAGATGCTTAACTGACTGAACCACCCAGGCGTCCCTGGACACTGATGTTTACTAGTCATTTTAAGTAGTTCTCTATTGTGTGTTTTGCTATAATCACCCTTCCTCTCCACCACATCCCTCCAAATAACCTTCAGTGAAAGTCTGCTGCACAAAACTGCACTGTTTGGGGAGGATTTAAGAGATGAAAGAAAGTATCCAGGCACCAGGTAAGCAATGTCCAAAGATGGCAGGAAATGTAATGAACAGAGGAACCCAGAATTCAGTGGGAGCAGTGAGAGGCGACCAGAATCCTCTGAAAACTTGGGGAGGATGTGCTGTCCCCCTTATCCTGGATTAGGAGGTTGGGTCCTCCATTTGGCTATTGAAGAAAAGAATAAGCTGGATGATTTTGGAGTAGCCACAACCCTCAGGTTACATAAGAATGATAAATATTTAACTCATAGAGACGTTTTGAGGATTATATTGGGATAATTCATATAAAGCGCTTAACACAGAGCCTGGCACATAGTAAGAACTCAGCAAATGTTAATTGCTGTTTTCCTTCACTTTCTTCCACTCCCTACACTCGCTTTCTGCCAGGCTCCATTCATTCTTTTCCAAGGACATGAAAGAGGCGTGCCCACTCCTCCCTCCACCCACCCCAAGCTCCGCCCCTCACTTCTGCCCGGATTGGTCCCTGAGAGGCGGAGCCGAGGAAAGAGCCCTGTGCGACGCGGTAGGGGCGGGGCGCATGCGCGGGCTGGGCTGGGTGGAGGTGGAGAGGAAGAGCTGCCGGAAGTAGGCGGCCGAGGTGGTGGCCGAGCAGGCGGCAGCTGCCAGGGAAACCGAGGCGCGGGACACACGGCCCGCAGACAGGCCGGCGAGGGGGTCGTCTCTGCGCGCCCCGTTTGCCAGAGCTGAAGGTCTCTAGTCCGGCAGCCTCCTTTGGACTCGAGCCTTTCCCTGAGCCCGCCAGGGGGCGCCGCACTGAGGGGCTGCAGAGTGGGGGGCGGGCGCGCCTGACGAGAGAAGGGGCGCCGGGCCTGGCCCGGGGGTGTGGGGAGGGCTTTCCCCCGCTCAGGAGGTGCCCCTGGGTGGGGGACCGGGAGTCCTCACCTCGCGACTGAGGCAGGGGTTTCTGGGGGCGGGGAGGGCGCGTCGCCCTCTGCCCCCGCCGGCACCCTGGCCATGACGGGCAAGTCGGTGAAGGACGTGGATCGGTACCAGGCGGTCCTGGCCAACCTGCTGCTGGAGGAGGATAACAAGTTCTGTGCGGACTGCCAGTCCAAAGGTAGCGCATCCCTCCCGGCGGGCGAGGGGTCCAGCCTCCGGCCGTGCCTGGGACGTGGCCTGTGTGGGGAGGGGGTTTCTGGAGCTTAGGCCGCCCGAATCCTGTTAAATGGTAAGGCGTGCTCCTCTGGCTGAGGAGGCTGCTGGGTGTTCTGCGGCGCCGCGATCTGTGTGGGGAGAGGCTGCGAGGGCGAATGTGAGTGCTTAGGGGGAGGGGGGCCGGTGGGGGTGGGAATGGTGTGTGCAGGTGAGAATGTCGGTATGTCAGGGCTCCGAATGAGTTCTGGGCCGGCTGTCGTTCCAGAGGCAGCCTGGAGCTCACCGCCTTCCACTTGCAAAGCTGAGTGATGAACTGCAGTGTGTGTGTGTGTGTGTGTATGTGTGTGTGGGGGGGCGAGTGTGAGAGCTTAGGGGGAGGGGGAGCCAGTGATGGTGGGGGTGGGGGTGGTGTGTGCAGGTGAGAATGTCCGTATGTCAGGGCTCCGAATGAGTTCTGGGCCGGCTGTCGTTCCAGAGGCAGCCTGGAGCTCACCACCTTCCACTTGCAAAGCTGAGGGATGAACTGCAGTGTGTGTGTGTGTGTGTGTGTGTGTGTGTGTGTGTGTAGGCGGGGACGGTGGGGGGGAAGAGGCTGAGAGAGGGGGAGGAAGAGAGGGAGGGAGACGAGGGAAGTGAGATGACGGTAGGAAAACCGCTTAAATAATTTTTTAAGGTGATTGTTGCTGCCCGCTATTTGCTTAGCAGCTCCTTGTGTCATTTTACAGTCTTGCTGAGATCTGACAGAGTGCATAGGTGGCTTTCTTCTTCCTGGATGTGTGAAGTGGGAACCTGCCTTATGCAGTGACACAGTGCGGATTTCTAGACAGCCTAGCCCTGGCGGTGGAGTGCTTTGGAGCCGGTGTGTGTGTGTGTGTGTGTGTGTGTGTGCGCGCGCGCGCGCGCGGGGGCTGAAACTAGCAGATTGTGGCTGTAGTGCAGGATCCGTTTAATCAGTGGAGAGAAGGAGGCAGGGGATGCATCAAATTTGTTGCTTCCGTGGTCATTACCCTCCCAAAGGTGAAATATGATCATTGTATATTGTTAGAGCCATTTAATCCTTGTGTGCTGTGCCCTCCAAGGTGCATGATTTGATCCAATTAAAGATCAGTACGATAGGAAAGCTTGGTTATAAGTGAAAGCTTGGTTATTAGCACTCAGAATTTATAGATACAAACTTCTGTAAATATTTTGTTTCCTTATTTTCTTTCTGAATTCTTTGGGATGTAATTGGAGAAGTTGGGAAAATTCTTTTCCCTTTGGGGAGAAGGGCATAGTTATGGGAGCTGTTGTTAATTTGCTTCTGTTCATAATGCAGTGGATTTACCACAGTCGTTTGGCATGTAGCATACTGGGTGCATAGTATACAACAAAGATTCAAATGTGTTTGTGTTTATCAATATTGAGAAAGGAAGTACATGCCTAATTGATGCCTTTAGGTAATTACCTTTTATTTTAGAAAAATAAGGTTATGTAAGGAGAACAGGGGAACGATACATTGATTTAAACATTTAGTAGTATATTTTAATGTCCTCTGCCAATAAATAAATGGCATGTACTTTTAGGAAAACATGTGCCCAGACTTCTTTCCTGCATTTTTGCCTTAGCAAGAATTTGATTTAAAAAGTATTTTAGAATCCATTTATGTTGAATAGGTTAATTTCTTATAGTTGACTCTTGTTAAATCTTGTCCTAGACTTTTTGGAAGATTCAGTTTAAAGTTTAGGAGTATTATTTCCTGGCTTTACTCAAATTCCCTTATGACCTCAATTGACAGATCTTGAGTCACAGTGAAGCAACCTACTAGAGTGAGCATTGCTACATTTGGGGAGTCAGATGCCATTTTGATGACTACCCCCAACATCCCATTTCTCCTACCACTCATACTTACTCATATTCCAATGAAATATAACATATGGAAGAGAGAGCTTGATTCATCACTTCTTCCCCCAAATTTTCCATTGCTTTTTATCAATAGCATTACTGGGGATCAGATAATGAAACAGTAGTTAATTCTTGATGAGAACTAGTAACTGCTGGGTTGTAAACTTTATTAACTACTGTTAATGGTAGAATCCTGGTTCCTGAAATGATTTCTTTTCACAAATTAGTTTTACATTTTGGCTTGGTGGCCTCAGTGAATTGGCCATTGTATTAAACATGAAATGACAAGGTGTCAGTCATCTTTCAATTCAGTTAAATAACATGTTGTTTAGGCCTCAGTTTATCCAGTTTGTGTATTATCTAACTCCTTCCACACTTTCAACCCTTCTCACTAATTTTCCTCCTCCTTTTCCCTAATTTTGGTTGTCATAATGATCATACAGACAACTACTGGATCATGGTAGGAAGAGACACTCATATCAGATTAAGTTACTTGTTAGCTCTGGTAAAAAATACATGTAGTGGGAAGAGGTATTTAAAAACTATTAGGTTTGGAAAATGAGATTTGGATCTGAGTTTATCCCTGTGTCTCATGTTGTTTCTTAGAAAATTGAGAGCTAATTGTACAGGACCTGGTGAGTGAGTGCTCATCTATTAATATTAAATCAGATGATGTAGCCCTGGACTGCAGACCTATGAGCAGTATTTTTCTGATGTTCTAAAATAACCCTTTGGCAATGGCTCTTCTTTTAAATACACTTGTTTAAGGATGTGATTATCTTTGGATGTGTAATGTGAACATCAGAGTAGAGAACAAGCATGTGTTTTCTTTACGTAGTACAAGTTTTGTTGATCCTGGGATTTTTAACTCTCTTGAGCATAAGACTCACTGGTTCCTGGGATCCCTAAGGCACTGAAGTGATTCCTGTGTGGCAGAGAAAGCTGCTTAGATATTGCCTTTTAAAAAATGCTTTGACTTACTTTTAGGCCCAAAGATACGGTTTTCTCATCACCCAAAGACATTGTGACCTTTAGGGTAAATTTTTGGACTGACTTAAGTAGTGATAGGACAAAGGACAAACATACTAAAAATTCCAGATATGTCAGTGGTAACTCTACATAGTTTAGGCTGGGTCCCATTTTTGGATAGACCCTTGTGAGGTTGTACTAGTCCAAGGCTTAATCTTTAGCTCTGCGGTTCCATGTTTTATCAGTGTGCCTGGAATAGCTGCTAATCACCCTCTTCAGACACTGGTTTAAACTAGGCACTATCTTATTTACCATGTAAGGATCTGTCTTTCTGATGACCTGGATACCTGTGTCCACTATTGGGATATTACTTTCTCAGTACCAAGGTTTGTAAAAATTTGAGAGCTTTTTAATGAACAAAGAATTAAAATATAAGAGATTTGATGGTCTTGTGGAATATTTACTTCATAGTTCAGACTGTGAAACACCACTTAGAATTCTGGAGTTTGACAGAAACTTTGTAATATTTTGTACTCTTCCCTTCTGCTACATGCCTCTGAAATGTTTTACCTTGAATTACCTAACTATTGCCTCTGTTCCAGTTTCCACTACATACTGTTAGATTTAAATATGCTTTTCGGAAAAGGTAGCACTTTCATGTGTTCAAAATATAAAAGGTTCAAAGGCGAGTATATACAATGAAAAGTTGTGTTCTTATTCCTGGTCCCTTAGCCACCATTTTCCCTTCCTAGAAGTAACCACTTTTGGTAATTTCTTATGGGACTTTTAAGAGATAATATATGCACAGGCAAGCAACTACATTTAAATATATTCTTTTGCAGTGCTTTTATGCAAGTAGTAGTGTATTGCTCACAGTCCGTGACACCTTGCATTTTTCAATCAGCAGTATAACGTGGAAAGCATGTAAGTGCTCTCTCCATGTACATTAAAGAGCTTCTTCATTCTTTGTTTTTTTTTTTTTTTAAGATTTTATTTATTAATTTGACAGAGAGAGAGAGAGAGAGAGCGAGAGCAGGAACACAAGCAGGGGGAATGGGAGAGGGAGAAACAGGCTTCCCGCAGAGCAGGGAGCCCGATGTGGGACTCGATCCCAGGACCCTGGGATCATGACCTGAGCCGAAGGCAGACGCTTAACGACTGAGCCACCCAGGCGCCCGCTTCTTCATTCTTTCAAGGGACTTTCTTTTTTTTTTTTTTAATTACGTTATGTTAATCACCATACATTACATCATTAGTTTTTGATGTAGTGTTCCATGATTCATTGTTTGCGTATAACACCCCGTGCTCCATGCAGTTCTAAGGCTATACCTAGGTTATCTTGATTAAGTTGAAAGAGATGCTTAAGTGATTTGGAAACATCTGCTCTTGATGAAGGCATCTTAGAAAGTGTCCTAGGCCCATCCATAGCTCAAATAAGCCCACCTTTCAGGTGGCACAGAAGCAAAGTAATGGAAGGGGCTGTTGACTTGATGTTGAAACATCCAGTTAAACTCTTTCACTCTGCTTATTTTAGCTTTGTGACCTTCAGTACTGCACTGAACTTTCTCAGTTTAATTTTCCTCATTTGAAAAATGAAAGTGCCTGGTAACTAAAGTGTTACACAAATGTAAGCATTACTTATTACCACCATGCTGGTCTTATTTATTCTATCTTGGTTTTATTTGTTTCACTTTCTGACTTTATTCCCTTAAGTACTCTGGTTACTGGAAGCCATGGTTAGAATGACTCACCCAGTAATTCCCTAGTCTTTAAGCCAAAACCATTTCCTATCTATGGGGGTTCTGGCACTTTTGCAAATGTACTTTATGGTACCCTTGAGGATGGTCTTTGGATGTTTCCTCACTCTTTAAACTTGTATGAAAGATTAGACCAGGGAATCTTTGTGTAGAAATTCTCTACAGTAGTCCTAAATTTTAACTTCAGTAAATTAATCTCTAGCTTTGCTTTATATTTGTTTTGTGTTGATAGATAGCTAAGTCATTGCTTGTTAACTAGCATTCCTTAGAACATGAACTTTCCTATCAATTTTTAATTATTTTACCTGTATCTGTGGCACCTTTTGAGAGGTTGAAAAAAATTCCATCAGATCAAGACAACAGAAGTTTTGTGTCCATCCCTAGTTGTTAAACACCCTTCTCCAGCCAAGATCAAATAACTTCTGGGTTTTTTATTTTTATTTTTATTTTTTTAAAAGACTTTATTTATTTATTTGACAGAGAGAGACACAGTGAGAGAGGGAACACAAGCAGGGGGAGTGGGAGAGGGAGAAGCAGGCTTCCCGCTGAGCAGGGAGCCTGATGCGGGGCTTGATCCCAGGATCCTGGGATCATGATCTGAGCCGAAGGCAGATGCTTAACGACTGAGCCACCCAGGCGCCCCTTTTCTGGGTTTTTACAGCTAATGCACCTTAACTCGAACAGTCATGGTTGGGTTGACACAGTTACACTGAAAGTAATTTATCAAAGTCCTCATTAGATTGTCTTTTAATATCAACTTGTTAAGCTTGTTCCCTGGGAGATACTTTCCTATTTGTTCTCCTTGTCCTTTAAATATCATTCTGTGGCAGTGGGATAGAGAGTAGAAAATGCCTTATCGTTTAGGGGGAACTCTGCAAGCCTGCAATCCCACACTATATGTATTCATTCTGAAAATATTTGTTAAGCACTTACTTGGTGTCAGACACCGTATCAGGATATGTGGTAGATTCAAAGGCCCTGTCTTTGGTCCGAAGGATCATACAGTTGAATGGGGAAGCAGATGTATAAACTGATAAATGATGCAGTGTAGTATTATCATGGCATTGTGTGCAGGGAGAAATGAAAGCTCTGGAGAAAGCAAACTAGTCTGCCTCAGGAAGTCATGGCTTCAAAGAGACAAGTAAGCTGTGTCTTGAGTGATAAGCGTGACTTTGCCAGGTGAATTTAGGGAACTTGGCCTTGGAAGCAGAGGAAACAGAATGTGCAAAGCCTGCAAGGTATTGAGTGTGTGGGTGGGTGGGAGGATTCTCTAGTATATTTTAACTACATGTTGGGGAGTGGCAAGGGATAAAGGTAGGCAGGGGCCAATAAGGTTAAAATTCTAGCCCTGTAGTTGATTTGCTTTATAGTATTGGGATTATGAATATGCTTTAGACTCTCTATTGTATAAGAAGCCCATACTATTGGAAGTCCACCTACTACTCAAATGAAATTATAAGTATTAGAGACATGAAATGTTTTCTAACTGATGAGTAGTAAGAACGGTCTCAGTATTGTGCCCACAAGACGAACATGGAAGTGTACGCAAGTACATTAAATTATCTTAGAAAAGTCTAGTGAAATGCCAGCGGTAGATATTATGTCACTTCTGGAGTTGACATTGATTTTTGAGGCTGAGCATGCTTAATACTCAAGTGGTCTAAGAGTGCTGAATATTTGATGTGTGCTCTTGTTTGCTCAGTGCTTAGGAGGTGTAAGCAGGTAGCTGCAGCCTGATCTCTCAGTATACTTTTTCAGCAAACCTATTGCTTTCCAATAAATCAGAAAACTACTTTCTGCATTTTTCATCTGATGTCATTATGATATGTAGGTGGCAGCTTTCTTGGGCACAGTTGTCTATATAACTGTTCACTACATGAGTCATTGTCTGTTTCTATTCTTCTGCCTGAAAATTCCATCTTGGAAATGACGTCATGCAATTAGTGACTGCTGCACTTTACTAATTATCCACATTGCAGCTGGCTCTGTATGTTATGTTGATGGACCCTACCTATGGCACAGACAAGGGACAAAATGACTTGTTAAATGGACTCAGACTCAACTCCTCCAAATGATATCCCTGTAGAAAAGATGCCAAGCAGGAATCTGCATAAAGCACACGTATGTTTTACATTCTAAGCGTACAGTGCCTAACTTCTGTTATTGTGTCTGCTTAAATCCTTATCACAGTTGTACTTCTCTTTGAGCAAGTGGACAGTTTAAGTAGATACTAATTTTGAAGAAGTTCTGTGTTGGCCCCTGGAATGTGACAGTTCAGCTTACCACACTGAAAAGGTAGGAACCAAATCTATGTAGAGTAGAACACCTTAAAGTTAATTTACTTTAACCAAATTCCTCTGTTGTTAAAGAAATATTCCGATATTGATAAATTTTTAAAAAATTATACTGTGCCACTGTTAACATGTCCGCTAGAATGTAAGCTCCATGAGGGCAGGGGTGGTTGTGCCTGTTTTATTCACTGTAGTATTTCCAGCACCTAGAGTAGTGCTTGGTATAGATGTAGCTCTTAGTAAATATTTGTTTGAATGAATGAATTGATCTTGTCATCTATAAATCTTTTGTTTCTTACTAGAAGAAATCTTTAACAGGTTATCTGAATATTTGTTTAATTCTTAAGAAACCTAAGTTTTAAAACATATTTTAAAGTTGGGGACCTAGCAGAGAAACAGACCCCACTGTAGATAGTACAAGCAGAGGGAATTTATTTTTTAAAGATTTTATTTATTTATTTGAAAGAGAGCAAGAGAGCAAGTGGGGAGTAGAGGGAGAAGCAGACTCCCCACTGAGCAGGGAGCCCAATGTGGGGCTCATCCCAGGACCTGGGATCATGACCTGAGCCGAAGGCAGATGCTTAACTGACTGAGCCACCCAGGCGTCCCAAACAGAGGGAATTTAATATACAGAATAGGTTACATGGATGATATAAGAGCCTAGAAGGTAAATGGGCTGGTGAGGCAACCCAGGATTAACAACACCTGGGAGCTAGTGTGCCCCTAAGGAAATTAGAAGGTGCTGGTGATACCAAAGGCCTGAAGTCTGAGCTATCTGGTGTGAGCTAGAAGCATGGAAAGAAAAGTCGTTTGGTGGCAGCTGGAACTGTGACCCTGTTAAGAGAGCATTACCCTGGCTTCCCTCCTCCTCCTACATCTTATCCTTATTGTTACCTCCCATTGATGGAACTTACCCAGAAATTGGTTGGCAAGGGAGCCTGGGAGATGTAGCTCCCACTGACAGAGTGGAGCAAGGGTAAGATCTAAGTGGAAACAGGCAGAGGCACAAAGCACTTAAAAAAAAAAATCTCCCAAGATGTAATTCTTTCTCCTTGGAGGTAATAGTTGAGTTATTTTGGACCAGAGATAAGAAGGGTTTTCAGGCAGATACAACCTCTTGTGCTTCTAAAGAATCTTAACTGTTGCTGAAACAATAATTAGTCCCAGGAAGTAACGTAACAACTCAGTCATTGCCTAAATAATTAGAATGTGTGTCTAGGAAAATTGGCTTCTGTTGAATCTTCCAGGGGCAGTTTATCAATTTGGTTATTCAGGAAATAAGTTTCCCATCCTATTGATTTTGGGATGCCTTGGGCATGACAGTGTGTGTGTGTGTGTGTGTGTGTGTACATATGTATGTACACACACACACACACATACATTGAGCTTGTCCCATCTACAACTGAAAGACTTGAGTCAACACATAAGATGTACAAAGAGAGTTTTGAGGATTGCAGCCTCGTGGTACAGATTAGACTTTCCTTGACAGTTAATGTTAAGGTAATTGCAATAGACCTAATTTTCCTTGTGCCACATCATTTTAACTAGTCTTATTGGTTTGTCTGGGGTTTTTCCCCCACGACTTTAGGTAGGTTAGCACTGGGGGAGGGAGGTAACACCACTGGATCAACTTTCTTCTGGACCTGAAAAGTATTTTTTGTTTTACAAGGGAGGTTGCTGCTGCCCCATTTCAAGGCCAAGCTTTCCAAGTTAGCGCTAGTAGTTTTCTTCTTGATTATAAAGTGTTTAATGAGCTATGTAATAGAAGTTTGGCACTTTCTAGAAGGGCTTTTTTTTGTCAATCAGGTCACCTGCCTTTGGGCCCCTGCTACATTAATGGACTTGGTGGAACTAGGCCAGCGAAGGTTTTCAGTAGAGTGTGAGTATGTTTCTTCTTAGGCTGTTATTTTCTACAGGGGCCACATGTAGAGGACTCTGAGTAAAGTTACCACCTATAAAAATTGCGTAGGTTTCATTGTTTTTCTCTTTCCTCCAAAAATTAATTTCCTTTTGGCAGGTATAATTCACAGATGTAATTAAAAAGTAATTTGGTTCTAAAAAGCGTATCAGACTGCTTCCCAGAGTACCAGTTCTTTTCAGCCAGTTCATTTCAATTTAAGAGGTACATCTATGCATTTTTGAAGCCTCATGTTTAATAATTACAACATTTTGCTACTGTATTTGACTCTTCCATTTTCCAAACTTTCTCCTTCCCTACCCCACTCTTCTGGCTCCTGTATTTCCCCACAGGCTTTGTGGATGCTGGTCCATTGATGGCTGAACTGCTGGTCCCTTCCCAGTGGAAAACCCCAGAGATGAGCCAAATCTGCCTTCAGCTGTGGCCATCCATCAGTGTAAGGTTGCCCTGGCGGTTGTCTTCAGTTTGTCCAACACTCCTCTGCCCCGCCCCCCTTCCCCATCCTCCCTCATGTGTGGCTGAAACTTGCCCTGGAATCCCACCTTTGTAACATATCACTGGGTAGTAATAAGATTTTAATATTGCTGCTACTTTTCATTTTCAAGTAATGTTAAGTAGTTCTCTGACCATTTTTGTTGACCATAGCCCTCTCCCCCGCTGCCCCAGTTTGCATATTTCCTATGGGTATTCTGGGTGCTTTTAAATGCATGTAGGATACAATTTATTTAGAAAGTTCTGGATTTCATAAGCCCAATTGGAGAATGTTGATTTTTTTTTTTTAATTTCAAGTCAGGACTTTCAAAAAGAAATTTCTTAATTTGAAACAATGAGAACTGGATCCCTCAGGCTCCATGTCCTTTCTCCTCACCCAAAAAATAAATGTGTAATGTTCTCATTTTATGATGTGTCAAAAGTAATAAGGCAAAGCAGGAGTAAGAGAGACCTCCACTCAGCTATAGTCGATAAGCCTGGCCTAGCATAGTGATTTGAGAAAATAGAGAACCTTTTCTTTTTCTTTTTTTTTTTTTCAAACAAGCATGCTGTCTTTCACAGCTAGTTTTGGGAAGACCATAAAATCCCCAAGCCTCTACTGCAGAGCTTACATCTTTAAATTCAGGTTTACTGATATTAATCCTACAATATTACTTCCTGAAGTGCACTGAAAGTACATTTTGTTGTTCAACTTCTTCCTCTTTCCTTGCCTTACTGGAAGTCCCCCAGTGTGTAGATTTAGAAATGAGTTCTCTGGTGTTTCAAGCCTTAAGTTAAACATTTTGTCTTAATATTGTTTAGATGGTTGCTTTTGTTCTTATGCCTCCAAAAAATAATCTTACAGAATTTTCTATGTGAGCGGGTAACATGCTGCAGTATAAAGCTCAGAAAGGAGAGGGTGCTGGTGTCTTCTTCTTGTTGATACTTTACCACTTGGGTTATAACTGACACAAGCCCTTCAGTGAGAAATAGGAAGGAAATTCCCTGTTCTTACCATGACACTTTTATTCAAAATAGCAATAAACAGCACAGTTAATGGAAACCAATATAAGTGTGACAGCTGATTTGAGAAAGAAAGAGTGGGAAAGATTCAGGCTCTTCTGCTATGTTGAAAGCATATTTGTTGAAAGAAAGCTGTTTGGAACCCGGAACCCTGTCTCTCTGAAGGTAGGCCTGAGGAGTTTGGTTAGAGGAGCTATTTTAGATGGAGGAGAATTGTGAGAAAAACTCTTTCCTGAAGTGTGAGTGCTGTGTTAACATCCCAGCTTGTAGGTGAGAGAAGGGAAGAATCCTTAAAGCAGCATTGGAAGGAAGATTCCAAAGCAGCTCCTCTGAGCATTCTGACTTTGTTCTGAGCCTCATTTCTGAACAGGAGTCTGACACAAGTGACTCAAATCAAAGATCCATACTGTGGGCAGAGTAAAAATAGGGCTCAGTTTCATTAGACTTCTTAATGCATTGAAGGAAGAAAAAAGATTCATTACCATAGACCAGTTATTTTTTGTCTTGTGGGATATTGGGGAGTGGGGAGGCATGAGCATCCTTACGCTTATTAGCTAAACATCATTAAATGCTATTTATTTATTTTATTAAAGATTTTATTTATTTATTTGACAGAGAGAGACACAGCGAGAGAGGGAACACAAGCAGGGGGAGTGGGGGAGGGAGAAGCAGGCTTACTGCCGAGCAGGTAGCCCGATGCGGAACTCGATCCCAGGACCCTGGGATCATGACCTGAGCCGAAGGCAGACGCTTAACGACTGAGCCACCCAGGTGCCCCTAAATGCTATTTTTTAAAAAAGCACTTTGGGGCATCTGGGTGGTTCAGTAGTTTGGACAGCCGACTCTTGATTTTGGCTCAAGTCATGATCTTGGGTCGTGGGCTCAAGCACCCCCCACCCCACCCCATTCTGTCACCCCTTTAGGTTCCATGCTCAGCACAGAGTCTTTTTGTCCCTATCCTCCCCAACCCCACTCCCGAGCACTCTGTCTCATAAATCAATCAATCAATCAATAAAATCTTTTTAAAAAAGCGAACACTTTATTTTTTTTCTGCTTTTGAAAATTACTCATTTGTGAAAAAAATCTTTGTGAAGTATGAGAAAATATAATGATGGAGAAGATACTTCACAAAATCCCTATCATCCATTTTTTTTACTTGCGCTTATTCCATAATAATTTTATGTCATTATTGTTTTGCTTAACATTTATCATAAGCATTTTTCATGACATTAAAAACATTTAAATACCTTTATTATATTCCATCATTTGAATATGTCATTACTTATTTAACTCTTGCCCAATTGTTGGACATTAGAATTTTTAGTTTTTCAATATTATAAATAATGGTACAATGTAAATTTTTGTATTGCTGTTAGACTAATGGATTATGTGTTCAGAGGTGAGTGGTCACGTGGGCCCTCTAATTTTAAAAAGTTGTCAGGAAGTCCTCTGGGCTGAGCCCATGCAGAGACAACCTTGCTATGGGGTTGTCATTCTGAACTGCTTCACTGTAGTGGACATCTGTTGAGGCAAAGAGTGGAGAGCTATGGAGAATCCTGGCTTGACCATAAGGAACAGATTTATGGAACATGATCACAGAAAGATGGGCCAACATATATTCTTATCTCATGCATAGTCTTCCACATTATATGGTTGATATATGGAAATATTGTTGTGTATTGATCAGCATCTTAATGTTGTTCATACAGTCCTCCTTCACTTAACCAGTCCACTGGGAAGATGGATTAGAGGTCCTACATTGGTAGAAAGGGGTTAATACTACCGTGTTTTTGTTTGATTTGGGGGTTTTTTAGTTTTTTTTTTTTTTTTTTTTTTTTAAGATTTATTTATTTGAGAGAGAGCAGGGGAAGAGGGAGGACAGTCTTAAGCAGACTCTGCCCTGAGCACAGAGCCCGACGTGGGGCTCAATCTCAAGACCCTGAGATCATGACCTGAGCCAAAACCAAGAGTCGGGCGTTTAACCGACTGAGCCACCCCGCCACCCCTGGTTCTTTTTTTAATAAGAGCTTTCCTTGGACTATAAATTCCATCAAGACAGGGACTGTGTCCCATGTATATCTGTATGCCTAATGGGCAGCATCTGACACATAGTGTCTATGCCTCCATCGTGAACACTGTTATTCTTTTAATGTGTGTTCAGATCATATTCTTTTTTTGTCTTCTGAAAGTTATTCTCATGCTGTTAACTCAGATATTTGAAGATCTGTGACATTCCAGGAAGCCAAGCAGGTGAATTTCATGGTTGTTTTGTTGTAGTTTCTTTGTGCCCTTTCTTTTTTTGTGCTTTTGGCATCCGTGCCACATTGAAAGCTGGAGCCAGTCACGAAGCTAGTACTCTGCCCTCTCAGTAGGAGGTTGTGGTGTGGCACATCATCTTGCATCTTGGGAGAAATGTAGCATGGGGTGTGAAACAGGAGGCTGAAAAAGCACTCCTTTAGCCTTTTTGTGGGATGGGAGTAAATATTTAGACACTGTTCTCAGGTGCTGCAGAAATTAATAATAACCTTGCAGCAGTTTTAGAAGCTCTTCTTGTACCCACTGGAACAGGTCTGTTTAATTTGAAGAACCTTACTTTAGCTCTTTTGAAGCTGTGATTTTTTTTCCTAGAGACCTACCCTGGATTCTTCTACACACTGTTCTTTTTGCAGGACCTTTCTATCCGTACCGCTAATATTTGCCCCACCCCCTTGCACCACACTGACCTGAATCTCATTATACCCAATTCTGAAATACCTAGTTTTTAAACATGGTAGTGTTTTCTTTTTGAAAGAGCCAAATCTTCACCCTTTGTTCTCCTCCCTTAAGCCAGAGCTGTTTTGATGACTAACATGCAACCGTCTGTACTTTGATCCCAGAATTAATTTCTAGTCTTCTGTTTGTTTGGAAATGAAAGTTCTCTAGCTTGTTTGGATACGGTTGTGATTCAGTTAAACTGGCACTGATTTTCCGTCTGTTTGCCATTGGTTGGGGCTCCTCTGATGTGTTAGGAAAGCTGCTGCACACCGTTGGGGAGAGAACGTCATGTGTTCGTGGTCTTGCACAAGGGTTTGTTTGTGGACTCAGGTTTTGTGTAAAAAGCCTCCTTCTGGCAGAAAGGCATGAGCCTCCCTTCAAATAATTGAAAGGCATATTCTGCCTGGCCACTTGTTCTTGAGCTCTAGTATATTCTCCACTTCTGGGCTTCCTTTGAGGAGGAAGAATATGGGTAAGAAGGGGTGTGAATAAGCCTTCATACACAATCTCAGATGTTGGGCTTCCCAGCAGCAGAGAGTGAATTGTTTGTTATAATAGAAAAGACCACCTAAAGAGCAGGATATCAATTTAGCGACCATTATTGAGCATCCATGTATAACACATATTTGGGGGTGTATAAAGATGATTCTAATTCCAGCCTAGCTGGTAATTTCTTCTATGAACTTGGTTAAATGACTTGGCCTCTCTGGACCTTAGTTTCCCCAACTGTGCTTGACTAGATAATCCTTAAAGTTCTTTCCAATTTTGGAATTCTATATCTAAATGTTCAAACTAAATGGCCTAGAAATGATTCCTGTAGAGGACTTCTCAACCTCAACACTGTTGATATTTTAGATACTTCTTTGTTGAGAGGTTGTCCTGTGCCTCATAGGATGTTTACCACCATCCCTGGCCTTGCCCACTAGATGCCAGTAGCATTCTCTGCCCCCACCCCCACCCCCCCACCAGTTGTGACAACTAAAAATGTCTCCAGACGTTGACATTGCCCCTTGGGGGAAATTGCTTCAGTTGAGAGGCATTGCTCCAGAAAGAGGAGAGTGGTACTGTTTGAAGGTGGGCTATTTTTAATTATCTATTTTCATATTGTTCCTCTTCTGCTTATTACCCATCCTGGGGATGGAGAATGAAGAGCAACCTCATTGGTCAAGAGCTATATCACTCTTCTTT